CCCACCTCCACCGGCACCACCCCCCCATCCACCAGGCCTTTGCACAAGCATATCCTCCCCTAACTGGAGAACTCCTATTCAGCTGCTAAACCCCAACACTGGTGCCCCTCGTCCAGGAAACCCTTCTGGCTTTCCCTGTGGCGTAACCCAAATCCCCCTCTGTCTTGCCTAACCCTGATCCCTCAGGGCGGGTGTTTGCATTTAGGTCTGCTTCATCCGCAACAGAGGCTCTTTCCAGGGTGTACACAGAGAGAGACGGTCGCTAACGGTCATGGTGGACAGTTTTGTCCTTACTGTGCCAGCAACTGCCCCCAGGGGGCGCCAGAAGGATATTGTTCTGCGTCACGTCAGGCCGGACAGTGAAACCTTCCTCATCCACCTCCGGACACGGCTGGGCAGGGGGCAAACGGTGAATCAGGCTCCCCGTCACCTAACGCCCCATCTCCCCTGGCACCCCCTCGCCTCCAGACCCTGACTGGAAAGCCACTTTCCCCCGGTGTGTGCGCAGGTTCCTGGGACACACCGGGGCTCAGCGAGGACATCGGTCCTCCCCACGTGGCCCACAGGAGTTTGTAGCTGAGGTGGGCTTTGAACCCAGCCCCCGAGCTGTGCCCCCTCCAGCCCGCCTCGCAAGCTCAGCTCTTGGGCTTCCAGCTGGGCTCTGGACTTTGGGGGCCGAGGTGGAATCGCACCCCTCCCGCCTGCAGCCCGGCCCTCGCACGCCACTCACCTCTGAACCGGGCTCCAGCATGTCTCTGGGGATGGAGGAAGAGAGGTTGGTGTCAGCTCCGCCACCTCATCTAGCGGCCCCTCTCAGCCCCCAACCCGGACTCGGAACCTGGGGGCAGCTCCTGGTCTGTGATACTGCCCTGAGCTAGCACTGGGGCCCGCAGGGGTCACACTGAGCTGGCCCGGGACAGAGGGGGTCTAGCCTGGGGGTGGGGCGGGCAGGGCCCTGGCTCACACAGCTGCACGCGGCTCGCGCTCCCGCCGGCTTAGTCCTGGCAGGCGAAAGGCCTTGGCTCCCCGCAGACGTTTCATTGCTGAGGACGGATCGGGGGGCAGCTGAGCCCTGGGAGGTGCCCCCGTTTCCGTCCAGAGCCCCCTTCCTCCCGCCACGGTCCAGCCTGGGCGTCCAGGCCCAGACGCACTTGCCTTCCTGCAGGGCAGCCGCGCTGTACGCTTCAAAGTCCAGAGGCCCTGAGACAGGAGATGGGACTTCACCGAGGCGGGCAGACCGCACCCGGGAGGGGCCTGCTCCCCGCTCGCGGCCGCACGGGGGCACCCGGACCTGCGCTCAAGGTCAGTCCGGTTCCGGGGCAAGAGCCAAGATGCCGAACCAGCCCCGCAGACAGTCGCGAGTGGGATGAGCCGCCGGGCTGGTTCTGGTCCCAGCTGGGCTGTGCCGCCTTGGGACGGGCTGGAGGGGGTGACACCTGAGCTGCTTCTAGGCCCTTCCAGGACTCCCAGCTGGAACTTGGGTTGGATCAGGGCATGGAGCGTGAGTCTGTGCAGTGGGGCTGGGCTTCGAGCACCAGGATGAGGAACAGGGACTCTCCCAGGGGCAGTAGGGAGCCATGCAGGGTGTGTGAGCAGGAGCAGGGCATGACAGATCTGGGGCCCATAAAGGACACAAGCGGGCACCCACACAGTGAGGGGTGGCTTGAGCCAGGGCTGAGCCAGAGAGACAGGAGGGCGAAAGGACAGGCCTTACTCGCTGACTAGACTTGGAGACGCAGACTGTACCAGCATTTAGTGAGTGCCTACTGTGTGCCAGACACTGTACCAAAGGCCCTTTACCTGTACCAAATCACTGAATGTTACAACATTAGGCGGGGCTTGTTATCCTCCCCACTTTACAGATGAGGAAACTGAGGCTCAGAGAAGTCAAGACACAGGTCCAAGGTCACACAGCAAGGATGAAGGAAAGACTCAAACCTGGCTCTGACTTCAAAACTTTTGCACTCAACTCCTCCCCAGTCCCGCATCTGAGTATTTTCAAGGCGTTCTTTTGCTCAACAATACTCGACGGCTCCCTTGGGCCATTGGGGTGAAGTCTGAGTGGCTAAGCCTGTCATTCAAGGCTCCACTGGGATCTGGTTCTAAGAGATTTACACACAAGATCAGGCTCGGGAATTGGACTTGTCATCAGCCCATTTTTGTGATGAAGAAACCAAGGCCCTGAAAGTTTCATTTTCCTGCCTCTCAAGTCCTGCTCTTTCCCCGTGGCCATGACCCCACAGCTGCCCGACTCACCTGGCTTCTCCCGGCCTGTGCCCTTGCTCTCTGCAAACTTCCTGAGAAGCACCTCCACGCTGACGTTCTCGATGTTCTGCTTAAATTCCTCATGCACCTGGGCCGGGTGGGCGGGCTGTGTGACTTGCGGTCCCTCCTGCCGAGCACTGGCCCCACCTCATTCTGCACACCCAGCCCAACTCACCTGCCCGATCTGCACGTGGGTGTCCTCCACGGAGTGGGCGTAGGAGCCCAGCAGTGCCTTCATGTTCCTTAGGTGGGTCTCCTCCATGGCTTGGAAGCGCTGAGGCAGGAGGGGAGGGGCAAATGGGAAGATCAAAGCTTCAATCAAAATGTCCCACCCCCTCGCCTTAGTGATTGATTTGGGGAAGAGCCAATGAGAGTCTTCCCTAGGACTTTTGCTCAAACTGGGAAAAGAAACATTCATTCCTGGGCCAATGAATTGGATTTAAGTGGGGGCTGCTGGTGGCCACTTTGCTGTGTGCAGTAAACACACACACACACACACACACACACACACACACACGGGCATGTCCTCCTGGGAGTGAAATCCCCAGGGAGGAAAACAGATGTGAGAATCAGAAAGTCATAACTTACTGCCAACACCATTTGAGCACCTGGATCCAGCTATGCCTGAAACTTCCCCCGCCCCCAAAAAACATCAGTTTCCTGAGCCTATAAATGTCCTTGTTAATGGAATAAAGGTTTCTATCACTTGCAATTTGAAAAAAAATTCTGATTCCTAATCCTAGAATTCCAATCTGCTTTTTGTACATTTAGGTGGACAGAGGCCCACAGAAGTGCCGCATCCTGTGAAAGGTCACATAGCTGGTGAGGGATGGAGGCTGTTCCACAGAACCTAGGTCTTCCAGCCACCTGGAAATGTCAGGAGACTTTCAGCTCCTAAACTCTGCCCTGTCTCATCCAAAAACTCCATCGATAATAGTAGAAATAATCATAATAGCTCATGGAGTGGTTTCTATGCATCTGGTCTGAAAACTTCATATAAAGCGACCCATTTAATCTTCACAACAACTCTGTGAGGCAGGTACTATTCTCCACTTTACAGATGGGGAAACTGAGGCACATTTTTTTCTTTTTTTCTTTTTAAATCATAATGCCAACAATGATAAAGTAGACTTTAAACCCATGATTCTAAGAAGCCGAGGCTTCAGAGGCTCTGGACTTCTGAGGCCCGCGGCATCCCTGGCCCAGGAGTGTGTGCGTCCCGAAGGCGCGCGTGCTGGGTTCTCACCAGGGCTGAGTCGAGCATCTTCTGCTCGAAGTCGGCCCGGGCCGAGTTGTACTTCTCCACGGAGCGCCGCAGGCTCTCTGCTGCCTTCTTGGTTTTGGTCTCTGCCTGGGAGGCACAGGGACGGGGCGGGGTTTGAGCGGGGACACTCGGGGCTTTTCTCCTGGTCCCATCACCTGGCAGGCAGACGCCTCTGGGTGCCCGCGCTGTGATCACGCGCAGGTTCACCGACCGTCACTCGGGGCCCCGCCTGCCCCTCCGATCGGCCGCCCCAGGAGCGGCGGCTGCGCGCGCACCTTGTCCGTTTCCTTCTGGCTGCTGCTTTCTCTCCGCAGCCGCTCCTGGTCCATGCAGCGGTTCAGGTAGTTCTCGCGGGACTTGGGCAGGAGCTGGCTGACGCCCGCGAGCACCTGCACGGCGTCCAAGGTGCCCATCACTTCCTCCTTGCACTGCGGGGATGGGGAGGGGAGGGCGTGAGTGGACTGTCAAATTCCTGGCTTCCCAAACACTCCGTGGGATTCCAGGTCTTCTCTGAGTGGTCTACTCATTTCAAAACATTTGAAAATTTCTAAATAGGTACTTTTTTTTTGAGACAGGGTCTTGCTCTGTTGCTTGGGCTAGAGTGCAGTGGCGTCATGATAGCTCACTGCAGCCTCGAACACCCTGGGCTCAAGCGGTCCTCCTGCCTCAGCCTCCCAAGTAGCTGGGACTACAGGTGTACGCTGCCACGCCCAGCTAATTTTTCTGTTTTTAGTAGAAATGGGGTCTCGCTCTTGCTCAGGCTGGTCTCGAACTCCTGACCTCAGTACGTCCTCCTGACTCAACCTCCCAGAGTGCTAGGATCACAGGGTGAGCCTCCGTGCCCAGCCCAAATCCCCCCTTTTAAAAAAATAGTGGTAAAATACACATAACATAAACTTTAATATCTAACCATTTTTAGGGCATGTTCAGTGGTATTAAGTACTGCCAAGCCCCCTTTTTAGTGAGAGTTAAAAGTACACAGATTCTAGAACTCCGTCCACGCACGGCCTCTATGATTGCACAGCGATAAGCTTCAGATATTGTGGGTTCCCAAGAGTCTGAGGCTTGAATCTTCCAAGATTCTTGCTTTGGAAGAATCTAGAAATGTCACATATCCAGATCTGCAGCTTTCAATACTTTAGGACAGGGTTGGCAAATATTTTCTGTAGAGGGACAGAGGGTAAATGTGTTCGGCTGGACGCAGACACGACCACAGGAGGCCTGCCCGCGGACGGGCCCAGCCGCGTGCCCATAAAGCTCATCTGCCACCCTGGAATCTGGGTGTCATATAAGTTTCGCATGCCATGAAATTTTATTCTTCTTTCGATGTTTTTTTCCCCTACCACTTAAAAATGCAAAAACCCTTCTTAGACCAGGTCTGGCCCGAGGGCCGCAGTTTGCGGACTCCTGGTCTAGAATCCGGAGCGTCTGACAGTGTTCAGTCTGCAGGGTTCTGGGTTCCGTGTTGGGGTTTGCGGAATTCTCAGAGGCACACGTGCTCCAAGGGCTGGAGGTTCAAAGGCTGCAGACATGCCGGGGTCGTGTGGGCGGCCGCGTCCCCCGCTAGCCCACCGGGTAGCGCCAGGACACTCACCTTCTTGTGGGTCTTCAGCTGCTCGTCCCCATAGCGGAGCACGTCTTTGATGAGATCTTGCAGCTTCCTGGTGAGCTCCAGGTGGCAGAGCGCCAGCTTGTCCGAGGACACGCGGAAGACCTCCCAGAGCGGGGCGAAGGTCCTGGGGACAGGCGGGGTCACACCCAGGACCCAGCAGGCCCACCCTCTGCGGGGGCCCCTCAGACAGCACGGCTGGCATTGGCTCAGGCACTACTGCGCACGCGCTGGGCCCCGCTAAGCATCAACGCCCATTAATCCATTTCGTTCCCACTGCAAGTGCCAAGAGGCGGGCCTGGGACAGACGGGGAAACTGAGGCATGGGACGCTCCATAACTCACCCCAGGCCCTCAGCAAATGAACATCAGAGCTGGAATTCAAACCCTTGCCCTCCCGACAGAAATTTCGTCCTGCGGCAGCCACAGGGAATTTTGCAGAATGCCAACGGGACCACGTCGTGTCTTCATTTAAAAGTCACTTGTGTGTCGGCCCCTGTCGCCTCCCCCCATCTCCCCACCCCCACCCCACTTTCTGTCCCCCTCAGTCGGGCCCTGCAGCCACGCCAGCCTTCTCACTCTTTCTTGAACATGGCAAGTGTGTTGCTGCCTCAGGGCCTTTGCACGGCTGAGCCACCTGCCTGGGTCTCTGTCCCTCAGACACCCCTACAGCCAGCAACTTCTCCGTGTTAAGGGCCCGCCCCAGAGGAAGTGCCCAGTCTCTCGTTCTCCCAGTTCACTCCCTTCCTAGCACTTTGCTCGCCGGGAGGAAACCGCATGTGCGCTTAGCGCCTGTCACAGCCTTCACTGCAGCTGTACCTGCACTGCCGCCAACGCCTGGCACGCGGAAGCCGCTCAGCAATCGTGCAATGAATGCATGAGCCAGTGAGGGAATGAATGATACACATCCCCTATCCAGTCAGCCCCATGAGTGGCGCAGAGAACACCTGTTCCACATGTCATGAGTGTGAAGAGAGGCACACCCAAGGGGAGGCTCCCAATGCCACCAGGGTCCCCAGAGGCCAACTCACCCCACAGGGGTCCCGTTGCTGGCCAGCTTGGAAAGTTTCGCCATAGCCTTTGAGTAGGTCTCCTCGATGGTGGCTCTGTGTAGGAGGACAGGGTGAAGACAAGGACACTTAGGGACACTTTTAGGAGAGGCGCCACCGCTCTGAGCCTCGGTTTCCCCATCTCAGACATTTGAGAAGTAGCTCTCCAATGGGGGGGGGTGATACAAAACCACAGAACCCTGGGGGACGGTGTGGAAATCCATAGGGGGTTTTTTTCTTCAGTGAAACATTTTATCAACAACAGCAGTGATCACAGCAGCCGCAGGTAAAACGTTTTTTGAGCACATAAGATAAGGTAGGCACCGTGCTACAAACCGTATGTGGTTCGGCTCATTTAATTGCAGGAAAAAAGCATATCTTTCCTTTTCCCCTCTTGGGAGACACTGCTGGATGCCTGTCTGACATCCATTCACGCCCTGGCCCTGACAGAACCTCGATTTTGTTCGGGGCGTGCACGGGAGCAGAGGTTGCCTCGCAACTCGCGTTCATTATGTTTTCTAGAACGTGGGTGTCTGTGCATTGCCAGGCTGAAATGTGGATGCTCTCATCGTATGTGTCTGCATCGATCATCTCAAGGGCACGAGATGGAGTTTCCAATCCCCCCCGCCCAAGTAGATTATGTTATCTTGTCTGCAGGAGGAAGGCGTTCGAGAGCTGATGATTGTTGTTTAGAAGGGGATATGGGGCCGGCAGGGTTGAGAATGCCTGGTTTCCAGGGTCTTCAAGCCCCTTTGGTTCCTAGATCCCCCAGGGATGTAGACCCGGACTGAACAGGGCGTGGTGTGGCCACGAAGTGGGCGTGGCTGCATGGGCCATGGCTGTGGGCTCGGGTGGGTGGGGCTCAGGGGACCTCACCTCTCCCGGATGAAGTCCGCCAGCTCCTTGGTGGAGATGGGTCCCTGCTTCACACTGTGGTACAGGACCTCAAAGCCATGGTTTTTCTCGCCCTGCAGGGGATGGGGGTTGAGATTCAGAAAGAGACTGTAGGAGATATCAAATTTGCCTAGCAACAGGGGTGTGGGCCAAAAAGCAAACTAGCAGAAGTCCATCCCCTTGGCTGTAGGGATAGGTTCAGGCCTGAACTAATCAGCATGTTGCATTTCCCCCAGCCACAGGGATTGTTTCAAGGGCCTTGAGTTGGTCCAATCAGAGAGAAATCTGGGATTTTTTTTTGTCCCATAGTTAAGGGAGGTCAATCTCATGTGTTCATAGTCTCTTTGTCTCTGTCTTTGTCTTTGTGTCTCCCTCTTTCCCTGTTTTTCTGTGTCTCTGTTTCTGTCTCAATCAGTCTCTTCCCCTCTGTTCTTCTCTTTGTGACTTTCCATAAATAAGGAATTATGTGCTCACAGGAGATACCGGAAGTCAAGTGGAAACCACAAACCTTGGAAAGAAGCTGAGCCAGAGAGAGTCCATATAGAAAAACATGTGTTGGGTCTAGCTGCTGGATCAAACCCACCCTGAAAGCCACATTACCCCACAATTGTTCAGTTTTGTAAGCCAATACAACCCCTGTTGTTTAAGTCACTATAGTTATGTTTTCAGTTCTCATCAACATGGAAACGCCTTCTCTGAGAACCCAGAGAAGGGTCCAGGTCTGAGTTCACTCTCTGGACCCAGCAAAGCCCAGCACAGAGTGAGGCTTTGAGTTTGTTGAATAAATGAACGAACGAGTAATTCTGCTGTTACCTGCTAGTACTGATGGGAACTGGGCCTCTGCCCTGGTGCATGCTGATGCCCTGCTGAACCTCTTTCCTCCACGTACTGGGGTCATCGCAGCAGAGGAGGCCAGGGCTGTACTGTGTGACCTGGGAAACTCACTGCTCTTCTCTGAACTCTTAGTAGCTCCTCATTAAAATGGGGCTGGGGGTCATCTGCCTCTTATGTGGGGACAAGGTGAGCACCAAGATGACCCACATCAGCATTCCCCGAAGCCCCAAAGGGACTCTAGTTTTTGCTAATTCATCATATGGTTAGTTAACACTTTGTTTTAAATTCGCTCATGTTTCTGCTCCGAATGCAACCGTGTAAAAGGGCAACTTTTACTGCTATTCTAGATGGAAAATCAGGACCCCTTGCCATATGATGGAAATAGGAAAAAATGAGGCAACAATTGTATTTTAATGCCGGCCAGATCCTGCCGCCTGTCAAGGGCGTCATGTCTGAACTAAGCTGTCCATTAAGAGGGGCAATCAGCTGGGGTCCGAGGGAACTGGAGACATTTTAGCACCAAACGAGGCCTTGTAATTGAGACTGAAAGAGGAGGCTTGCAGGGGGATCTGATGCTATTTCGCTCCCGGCGGAAATCACTAAAGCGATCCCTTTGGCAGCACTTGGCAGGCTCTCCATAAATGGTGGATTCCTCCTTCCCCTCCCACCTATAGGTTCGCCCCCCCAATTACCTGGAGGCTTCGAAGGCTAAAGCCAGAAGTTGCTGCTAGATAACCCCTGTTGCTGCAGAAATGGAGAAACTGAAGCCAAGACTGGGGCAGACCCAGGTCAGCCTCAAGCCCAGATCTCCCAATGGTCGCTCCTCATTCTAGAATCATCTATGGCTCCCTATTGCCCACCAGTAACCGAAGTTCAAGTCCTTAGCCTGGAATTTTCTTTCCGGCCTCATCTCCTAGCTTTTTCCTAACCTTGCCAGCAAAACAAAAAAGAACAAAGACATGCGGTGCCTTTCCGCCACCAGCCAGGGCATTCCTGCCACCAGCTCGCCAGGCTCTCTCTCCTCCCACTCATCCAAATCCTTCCACTCCCCAAGCATCACTGCCAGGCCCGCCTTCTCTAGGAAGCTTCTCAGACTCTCTTCCCTCCAGCTCCCCAGTAACACATTTCCTCTCCTTTCATGTTCGGAGTTGTACTATCGGGGTTCAAGGGTCAAATTTCTCCTTACACGCACTGGCTCACTTCGGGTTGGTGACTTCACTCTCTGGGCCTCAATTTCCTTCCTTGTCTGACAAGTGGGGACAAATGACAGCACCCGACTCCCAAGGGGCTTGGTGAGACGAGGCTGCCACAGTGCTGGACCCGGGGGATCCTCGGATGAGGCTGCACCAGGCACCGCCGCCCAGGCCAGCATCTGTGGCTGACCCAGAGCCAACCACTGGCCTGTTTCCCAGACCTGGCAACACCCTCTGTGGCGTCTGCCTCCCTTGGACTGGGCTGGCAGCCGAGGGTCCAGGAGGGGCTGTCTCGGGCCTGTGTCTCCTACCAGAACCTCTAGATCCAAGTTTTGCCCTGTGCCAGCCTGAGTAGAGTCTTTCCAACAGAGCTTGATCATGTCCCTTTCCTGCTCACACGTTCCCCATGGCTCCCTAGTGCCCTCTATACCTCTGGCCCTGCCCTGGCCCAACAAGACTGGGGCATTGCTGTCTGGCTTGATCTACGGGCCATCCAGGGCCCCAGCATCACCCAGCAAAACGCCAGGCATACGTGGCGGCTCCAATACAAGCGAGTGTTGAAAAGACACCTGGCTAGTGACAGATGTCACGGGAGCCGTCCCTGAGTCCAGGAGTGAGGCAGGAATTTCATTCCCCATTCCCAAATGGAGAAACTGACCCTCGGGGAGCCGAAGCCACCTGCCTGAGGGCTCCCAGCAGAGCCCAATTCGAATCCTGAATTCAAAGCTCTTAACCACTTTGCACTGGGCTATCTTTGGGTGAGGTGGGGGAGTTGGGGGTGGTTTCTATTTTCTCTTTGCTGATCTGAATTTTCTGCAGGGAGCCTGCACGCCTCACGCAATTAAAAAGAATTTAAAATACATGTAGGTGCCACTGTCAGGGTTCCAAAATGTGGGCGACTTTTGATCCTGAAATGGTCAACCCCTTGCACAGAGGCACTAACAGGGGCTCAGAGAGGCATAGCCCCTCGCTGGGGTCACACAGCCTTTCAGAGGATAATCTGGGGAGTTGGACCCTTGCAGAGAGGGCGCAGGTCAGACCTCTGCAGGTGGCAAGGGGGTGTGGCCCCTTTAAGAAAGCAAGTGCCAGTAAGAGGAGCCCCAGCTGGGGAGGGAGAAAGGGAGGGATTGGGGCTTGTTGCCAGGGGCAACAAGTTGCCTGGCAACGGGCTTCCTCTGCAAGCTCAGGGCCTGCAACTGGGGAAGGGGCTTTCTCCTCTGGTCCCTCCCTGACTCCTGGGCCCCCTCCTGTTCACACATCCTCGGTGGCTTCCCATTAGTCTGGCCCTGCAAGAGGAGTCCCTGTTCCCTGACTTGCCCAGGCTGCCAGTGTCACACCGCTGGGCTTCTGCCCAGGCTGTCCCACAGCAAACATGGCTCTGTGTCCCGGCTCCCACTCTGGGTACGCCCCCAGTGCAGGGCTCAGCCATGATCCTGCAAGGCTAGGGGTGTCTGGCTGGCCGGAGTGGGTCGCCTGGACTTGGGGACTCCTCCTTGGGGACCAGGGCTGGGGTGGGGCCTCTTGGAGGTCCCAGCATGTCCCAGAGTTGGCTGGGCACGAGGTCGTGGTGGCAGGGAGGGAGGAAATCCATGAGTGAAAACAAATCTGCCTCACTCAGCCCCGCCTCGGGCCACAGTAGGTGGGCCCCAGCCGTGACAGCAGAGGGGTGCAGGGGCCGTGGAGGTCAAGCCAAGAAAACCCCCAGCTGCCCAGGACGGGAGCGTGCGGAAATGCCCCGGCTGCGCTGACCCTGGATCCTGGAAGCTCGGCCCCGGGCCAGGTTTGAGCTCGTACTCTGCACTTTTGCACTGGGCACGTCGGGCCAGGCGGGAGATTCCTGCTTGGGCCTCAGTCTCCCTGTGGTGCAAGCTGCGGCTGGGCCAAGGCCACAGGGCCTGCGAGGTCTGCCGCTGTGGATTCGAGCCCAGCCCGATCCTCCTCCCTCGAACTTCTATGCCCTGCGGACCTTCTGCCCACAACACGCCCAGTCCCCCATCTCCATAAAAGTCCCTGCAGCTCTGCTAGGAGCCCCTGCCAAAATAAGAGGAGGTCTTACCCAAAAATGCTCCCCAAAATATGACATCCTGATGGCCTCTGTGGAGACCCCCACAGGTCCCTGTCCGGTGCCTGCCTGAAGAGAGAGGCAAGTCTGAGCCACAGCGTCATTGCCAGTATGGGCCTGAGGAGGGAATTCCCCCGCGGAGGCAGGAGAGGAAGGAGGGAGGAGGAACAGAAAGCCCCAGTGCTGTGAGCGTACCAGGGCCCCTGAGATAATTCACCCTTGGCCCTGACACCAGGTAGTTCCCAGTCTAGGGGGACAGAACGGGACACAGATGCCCCCAGTCCCATAGGGTCAAGGCTAGACTAGACAGAGGGACAAGGGCTAGGGCAGTTCAGATTGGAGGAAGGGGCATAGAAAGTCGGGTTTTTAAGCATGTATAAGAGTTCATGGGAAGGGGTGAGAGTAGTGTTAGGTGAGCCCCACTCTAGGTTGAGAAGCTTTGAGCCATTTCGCAGATGGGGAAACCAAGCCCCCCCATCCCCAAAGGGGAAGCCACTTGCCAAAGTCACACAGCCAGGAAGCCACAGTAGATTTGCACTCTGGACCAGCTGAGCCCAGATCTGAGCCCTCAGATCCACTCCAGGTGCTTCCTGCAGGAAAAGGGTTTGGTGAGAGACGGATGCCGGGGCTGTGATCAGGGGTCCCCGAGGGTCCCCTGGGGTCTCCTGAACCCCTCTACAACAGTCCCCACCTCATGAACACGCCTAGGATGGAGAGCTCCCTGTCACTGTGGTGACCCAGCTGGCACTAGTGCCCCCACGAGTCCCAACCCTGCCCTTGGAAGCCAGTGTTCTACCTGATGTCTGAGTCACTGTCCACCTCTGTGCCTCAGTTTCCCCATCTGCAAGACAAGAGGAAATGGTTAGAATGGGTCTTGCTGGGGGACCCCAGGTCTCTTTGCACGGGGGTTTGGGCCAGGCCTCCCAGCAGGGAGGGACATGTGGTGTCCTTGGCATGTTCTCGAGGCCAGGCTTGTCACTGGAGCCTGCAGGCCTCATCCATAATTCATGGCCCCACGAGCAGCTCAGCAGCAGCTGGGAGCCTTGGAGGCACAGTAGCAGCAGGGACACGGACCGGTGGCCGCAGGATGGGGAAGCTCCCTGGGCTAACTGGGAAGGGACCAACCAGAATATTGGGCACGGCTGCCCCTCTCTGAGCCTCAGTTTACCTAATCTTGAAAGTTAGTTTAATTCGACCCATTGTCATCCAGCCTCCAGTCCAGGGACTTTTGAGTCATCTGGCACCTTCCATGCACCCGCGCTGGCCAGGACAATGCCAGGGTCCCTGAGATGATTCAGCCCCAGGCCCAGCCACAAAGGAGTCTGCAGTCTAGGGGGACAGAGCTGGACACAGACGCCCCTGGTTCCACACGTTCGGGGCTGGGCCAGGTGGAAGGACAAGGGCTTGACTATAAAGGAGGGGTCATGGGAGTTGGAGTTTTAAAGCATGAGTAGGAGTTCACCAGGTAAAAAAATTATTTGTTTCAACAAATGTTCCCAACCACCACCCTGTACCGCACAATGCTGAGGACCCTGAGAACTTCAGTCCCCAGAGCAGCCGCCCAGGACGCCTAGTCTGTGGGGTGGGGGTGGGGGTACCCGGATGATGCTGCCTAGCGGGACGAGCCCCACATTCCCACATCATGTCTTAGCTCTGGCTGCAACCTGGTCCCCGAGCTTCCGAATCCCTCCGAGCTGTGAGCCGCCAGCCCCACGTGGCAACTTAATTTTAAACTAAGTAAAATCAGTACAATTACACACCAACTCCTCCGTTTACTAGCCTTTTTTTTTTTAAGGGCGTTGATTGGGAAAGAACACACCGGCTTCTCCTCCAGGGCTCCGTCGCGACATTGCCCTAGGGGATCCAGGAGCCGCCGCGTGCCCAGGTTCCCAGAAACCCAAGAATCTTGCTGCTGTTTCTACACTTCCAGTGACGTGGCCTCACCCGCCCGTCACCCGCACGCAGAGACTCGCTGAGCACCAGTGTGCGCCGGCCCGGCCCGACTGTCACCGTCATCAGTGAAGCACCATCCCGACTCCTCACGTGAGGCCACTGAGGCACAGAGAAGTGAATCGTTGGTTCCCCGGGTGACGGTGATCTGAGCTCTGGCCCGATTCCTGTTCGGAACCCCCACCCTGGCTTTGGTCCCCTCCACCGCCCCCGGCTCGCTTCACCACTCAAAGCCGTGATGGGGGGCCAGTGAGCAGAGGGTGCCCCATGCAGGCCCTGGCCCGGCCCAGGAAGTGACACCCGCTACTTCCCCCGAAACCCAGGCCTGGGGCAGGCAGGGAGGTCTCCCTTCTGTTCCTGAGGGGGCAAGGAGGGCACACAGGTGCCTGCCGGCCAGGGTTGAACTCACCCGGCAGGGCAGCGAGTGACACTGGGGCCCCGTCTGATGGGGCAGGCGCTGGGAGACGAAGCCAGGCCCCTGCCACTTCCGTCGGCACCGAGCAGAGGCCTGTGTGCACCGTGGGGACAGGAAGCTCGCTCCGCCCCACCCACCACCCAACCGCCGCCTCCCCTCCCCCGCCCGACCGGCACCCCCGGGACCTCCCTGGAACCACACGGGCCATGGCTGGGCAATCTGCGGTGCCCGAACCTGGGGCCCCCGGCCCGGGGCTGTTATTGCCGAAAAATAACAGTCGCGACCATGGTGTGGAACAGCAGGGCCCGCAACCGAGCGCCCACCCGGCCCCGCAGTCAAGACCAGGCGGGCCAGTGACACGCGCTTCGCACAGGGAGAAACTGAGGCTCAGAGAGGGTGATCGGCTCGGAACGGGGAAGGCGCTTTTGCCTTCTTCCTCCATTAAAAACATTTAA